GCCCCAGCAGACCTCAAGCCCAACCGAAGCCCCCCCCCCACTCATTCTGACGACTTAGGTCAAAAGCTGAGCACAGGTCATAATGACTTAAGGAGCGGGATCAATACCTGCCGTCGTCAATAAATTCACAGGGGGGGGGGGTATCCATTAGGGTGTGGCGTTCAATCAGCGGTTATAAAGGGTGCGGCAGTTCGGTGTAGAGTCTTAGTGTACTTGCGCGGGGGGGGGGGGGTGATTACATGCTTGTTTTCGCGGATAATCTTAGGAATAACAGCGTCGCTATCCCCAAGAGCATGGTCGCAATGGTAGACGAAAATCTTGAATGCAGTGATCGCCTTGAGCTTATATCCAGAGCTGGGGTAGTTCAGCTTGTCAGCCAACTCCATAGACCGAATTTCCAAAATCACCTTCTTTCGAATATCAGCCTTGCTGTTGATAGCAACAGGCTTATTGAACACATAAGTGTTAGCAAGATTCGGATAGAAATAGCAAGTATCATCAGGATCGGTCTTGCTTACAAGTTCGTACCCAAGAGCTATATTTACCTTAAAAGCACTTGCCTGGCTCGAAAAAACGTTCTCGAGCTTATCGTAGAAATCAGTAGCCTCGATACCCTCATATAGGTGTGATTCCATGTGATTACCATTGTAAAAACGATACTTAGGATCAGCCTTGAAGTCAGGCGACAAGTGCTTCTCAAGGATTTCAATCGAATCATTGTACTGCTTAGCTACCAGTCTCTGGTTGATTGGGCGCGAAACTTTGCATACATAAACCATCTTACCCGTTCTACCACGCACCTTAACACGGTAGCTACTACCCCATTTGATAGCTTTGATATTTAATCTTTTTAATCCTTCGAGTTCGTATGCAAAGATGTTGCCTCTATATGCTTGGCTATATTCTTTTTCGTAGATATGACTCTATAATATTTTGATCATGTATCAGGATCGACTTTATATCTTAGTCATTACAAAAGATTCTGAAATTAATTAATTCAAATATTTGGGTTATACCTTCTTGGAGGTTTTAAGCCATTGTCATTGACTATATTGGGATTGATTTTTTATTTGAGAAAAAAAATTATTAATTAAGTTCGGTTTCGTTGTTAGGTTCGGCTTTGTCATCAATAAGCTCGGTTTTGGGCTTGCGCTTGCGAACACGGATCTGCTCTCGGTTCTTATCGTCGTATTGTACTGGCAAGATGAAACCCAACACCATTTTTTTGTTTTGCCCATAAATACAAAAGTAGTAATCGGATTAATGCCGGCAGACCAGCAATGGAAACAGGGTAGCACAGAGATCACAGACAAACACACATTGTTTGACTTTCTTGTCTTTTACTAAAATGGTGGACGCTCAAACGTCTGCGGGAAATTGATGCTGATCATGCATGCACAGAACATTTCTTGCGATATTTAATAAACAAAGAAGCCTAAAGTGACAAGCTTAACGCCAGAATGCAGCTTGGAATGCAACGCATCTGCAGAAGTTGGTTAGAGCTACAGGAGCAGCGTAGGGATTGCTGCATGCAGTGTTAAACGCATCGCCGACAGCCGCACTTCCTAGGATCAAATGTGCATAGAAATGAGTAAAAAGGGCATTGTTGATTGTAATACTAAAGTTTGTAAGGACCAAAACATCCGATGCCATATGTCAAGAACATAGCCTCGATTTTTTGGGCGGAACGAAAGACACGCACTTTTCCGTGCATTTGAGCAGATATTCAAGGATGATTATGACTACTTAAGAGAAGAAATCGTTATCTTTCCAACAAAAAAAGCTCATATAAATTGGGTAATTGGGTGAGAAGTTGTGAAGGGGCAATGTTTGGAGTTTCACGTGTGCATAGTAGCGCTTCTGCGCAGCCTTAATGCTCTCTTTGTTAGCGAGGTATTGTTCAGATTAGTACCTCCATCTTTGTATATTAACAACTTTATCTTAAACATCTACTGCAGCAACCTGTCTGTCCGTCACACTAAATTGTCGTGCCTGTCACGCTTTTCCGGACAAATCATTGGATAAAATAATTTAAATATTTCTACTGGCTGACGAGCGCCGCGAAGGTGTCTTCAATTGGTTAAAACTAGATGGTGTAGTTGACATCAATAAATGCATGTGTTTCCCAGTTTACATATGGGGATTTGCACAAGGCTATACATTATCCGAAGGCGGCATCGTTTAAATATTATATACTTTTTCATAATGCAAGTTGTTATTGATATTTGAATACTACAGTAAACGGAGGGCAGGGTGCTTAGCGTACACGTAAGCATGCGTGTTTCCGAGGACATGGTTTAAGTATACTAAATACTCTGTACTCAGTAGGATCTGCGTGTTACACTGAATAAATGATAATTTCAATATATTTACTGTAAAAATATTAGCATTAATAAGTTATCTGAGTGGGTTTCTGGTATTGCTAAATCGTACATGTTACATGTACAGCAGTAGCCGGTCGTGTAGACTGGCCGTAAGAACAAAACTGTGCTTATAAACGTTGTCACTTGATCCACAAAGATAGATAGTGTTAGATTGTACGTGTGTCAATTATGGTTATTATAAGTAGGCCCGTAAAGAAACGTTAATCAACTTAGAGCCTGGAATCATCAATTAAGTATCAAATAAAAATACCGCCGTCAACAACAACAACAGCAAGGCGTCTTGCGTTTTATATATCAAAGGCTAAACCATAACAGGCACAGATTGGAGTGTCTAATGACTAATTCTGAATCAGCACAAAATGAACACACTTCAAGGCATAAAAAAATGCTACAGCTTGAATATTTTTATTAAATATTCAAACTGTAGCACTTTTAATTTTCTTTCAAAGTAGCGAGTTTGGTTTGCGAAGTGGTTAATACTCAGTTTATTACAAGCTTAACCAGGCAGTACAAGCGGGTATTTGATGCAAGCTGGACAGATATTCTTTGCATTGATGCAATCTAGGTTTCAGAAACGGCCCGTGAAATCGAGCACGGCGCTAAACTAAATATTTTATTTAGCGGTTTTAGACTGAAGTGCAGGTGCTTCTGGGTGGAAGATTAAGGTACAGTGATAGCCAACAACAATAAAGAGACTTTGCCAAGATCACTAGCGTAATCGTTTATGAGCATGGTAAGTATGATGCTAGGGGCTCAGTCTTTTGTACCGGTAGAAATATTTACACGGCTTACTGGGAACTCAGCATTTTGTAGCAAATGAAACGCAGATTTATGAAATTAAAGAAGTCGATTTACGTACATATGGGACTCACCGCCGAAGCGAAGCGAAGGCGGGAAGGCAAAAATCTGGAGTAAAGCCGAAATTACCGCCGCGTAGCGGCGGCGCTCGGCTAGATATAAAAGATGGCACCACTTGCTTAAAGTTGCAAAATGTCCACCGTACCTGTACGGTAGGAGTCCTACGGTTGAGAACGACTGTCATTCTGCCTTTTCCTACGTTTTATCTTATAATAATGAGCGACGACCGATCACAGGGAACTTCCTATTAATAGTGAGCTATCGATACAGTCGGTAGATACAGACCAAGAGCCACAAAATTATTGAAGTACATGTATTTGGCTTCGTGAAGACGTACATTACACACTGTACGTTACTCTACCTTGACGTGACGACGACAGTCGTCATGTCCATTGGAGTCCAATTTGGACATTGTCCAACGTGCGTCTTCTGAGACAGTTATACAGATCCTACAGATGTTCGCTAATCCGATGGGCTCGTGTAATCGCTGCAAGAAAATGCAGATTTTATGAAAAAATTCGTACGACCCAACGCAACATTCCGAAATTCCTTTCTCAAAGGGCGCACTGATTACGAAATGACAATAGAGGAGGCAGTGATTTGAAATACAGGAACATAGGAGGTACATACATTAAAGTTCAATTTACCGGTCCACCAAATTTATTCTACCCTATACAGTACCTCGTATCGACAGCATTAGACTCAGTAGCCCTACTGCATGTAGAACAACATCTAGAGGCGTCAAGTAGTAGTTTCCCTCGTACTCTAATAGTTAGTTTATCTTCAAATATTCAGGCTCCGAATTGTACAACTACTGTACGTAAACACATTCACGATGTTCACATTTTTAGCACCACGTTTTTGGTGGTGCTGAAAAGGCAGCTACAGTACCTCCACTTACATGATGTAAGTCTCGTAGCTAGCCGGATGCTAGTAGCTGACATCCAGTTTCATCTTGTTTTCACTAAGGAAACCACTTTTTAACATCAAGATTTGTGATTGTAGCTATATCTGGTTCATACAAACACCAAGTGAATGAGTAATTTTCCAACAACCCAGAATCTGAAGAGCCGGTAGATCAGCGTTCCTGCAAGTGTGCCATTTGAGAAAGGATTATCCTGATCTCGGATTTCTGTGGTTTCATTGGCTAACACTCCTTTCTTGAGATTGGGTAGGTGTGCTCTTTGAGATAGGATTGAACATAAATGAGACGGAAGAGGCACGCATCGATTTGGTATCAGTGAAAGAATCTTTTCAAAATACCAAAAGGGTCGGTTTATAGGAAATTGCACTGGATTTTCCAATCGATTTGGCTCGATTTAGCAGCCAGCATACTACTGTAATTACTGGATCAATCGTATTTCTATAGAGCATCGAGATCGTCGAGGCAAAGGATTATATGTACAAGCCGTCACTTCCGATATCGTGATCCACCCCTATCATAAGATTAACTATCTTTTTTCGAAGGGTTATGTAAAAACTGTGACTCGCAGTGTCCTGTTGGTGGCGCCAGGCATATTTCTATAAAGGATATTGGATTCAGTGATCAGGGAATGCATTTACGAAAGTCTGCCATCTATTCCTGCGTAATATCTGATCAGCCGATCGACTTCGTTACGAGGCCGTGTATCTGTTTCTTCTCAGCCACCTCTCCATGTTTATTGCTCAGACCACTCCAGCGGTTACGCTAGGTCTTGCGGCATCATGCAAATGAACTGACTGCAGGTCGCAAATTCATGGGCTCTCACGATCATCGTTATCTCCCCTTTCAAACCGATTTTATCAATAATATCAGTGTATTAGCTGATACCAGTACCGGAAATGGTAGCTTTTTAAGTGCAAATAAATGATTAGTAAACTAATGGTACGAATGGGAAGCATTTTTGTACAAGCCCAGACGCTTTGCAAGAATCGAGGTACTATTAATACGTACCAATAGTACCGGTACGTATTAAAAGAACAATTGAACGGAGCCTTTAATACCACTCGACACTGTGCAAAGCTCACACGCCACGCCGAGTACCATTTCCCAATTTGCTCCGTCGGATCTCCATTCACGACATCAACCATGCGAGTGTACGCCGCCTTCGTCGTGGCGCTGGTCTCCCTTCTAGCTACCAACAGTGCTGTTCTAGCAGTAACGACCCCGACCAAGTTAGCGAAGTTGACGGCTCCTGAATTCACAGACAACGAGAATCGTCAGCGTCGCTTGCTAAGAAAACAAGAAGGTGCCGAGCTGGGTGACGAAGAACGAACGAGCACCCAAAACCTTGGGAACTCTTTGATGAGGGTGTTCTCGAAAGAGGCCACAAGGAAATACTATTTGGATTTGTTCAAGCGAGCCGACTTTACAGCGAATCTCCCAAAACTTGCGAAAAAAGGTGGGCCTGACAGGCTGAACGATGCCTTAAAAAAACTACGAAAGGCTGGCATCTCTGAGGAGAAGTTTGCGGAGCTCAAAGGTGCGGCGGCGAAGTACGCAGATGACTGGTATAGAATATATGGCAAGCTTGATCCTATTAGAGCTTGAAGCAAGCGTCTTGAAGAGACATTTACTTCTACCCCGGCAAAGTTAGCTGCCATAACGATCGTAATATCCGTTTTTCTTGTCGTTAGTACTGTTACTGATTAATAACCCACTATGGATACTGTAGACGGGTACGGTTTCTTGACTTATGGAGCATCATCTGAATTGTTGCTTGGACAGAGTAGAATCTATTCGCTCTGTCGAAGCTGGCGAGCTAGCGGCGTTAATTCGGCATTGTACTACGAGTGATAAAAGCAAGATGTCACGACATTTTCAGGACATGACGTCGTGTACGAGCTTCAAGTTCCGAACCAAGACTTGAATATCGAAGTCATATTCAGTGGCTTGTCTATCTGGTGTCAATTGGAGAGTTAATTGCCGTTCCGGACACGAGATCCGATTTACTAGAGCAATTTCCATAAGTCAGTAGCTACTATTGACTTATGAAGATTTGATTTGGTGCGTGTAAAGTACTGATCAGTAGTTGTCCCAAGCGTTAGATGTGTTACGCCTGGGTAGTAGTATAATAGTAATACACAGTGATGCCCAACCATCGAATGCATGAAGTAGAGCTACATCCTCTTACAAAACAACTTTCTCATTTCCATTTTATCCACGCCATGGCCCCTGTACTCCGCAACCTCTCGAAGAAGAAATTGGGCCGGCCCAAAAAGCGTTTGCCCCGAACCTGCCCATCCTGCAAGGTCACCTTCAGCTCTCCGACTAAGCTAAAGAACCATTTGAACCGTCAACGCGGATGCGGTCCCAAGGCCGTAGCTCTTTAAAAGGCAAAAAGAAAAGAAGCAAACCGGTATTACAGAAAGGTCAATTCAATTAAAAAAGAATTAGACAAGGTGGGAATGTGGGATTTTGAGTGCGACGGCTCTAGTGATGACGCTTTGGACGACAAGGCCATGAAAGAGCCCAAGTGGGTTTGTTTTGGAGACAACTTGTCCACTGCCAAGGGTTTGGCTCAGTTAGACTGGACGCAGGTAGCTAGAGTGATATTGAGTGTAGCATGATAGTAGTACTATTACCTTTTTGGAAGTGGTAATGTTAGAATATCATTTACTACAACTAATTTCTTTAATCATTAATTGTCCGTTTTTGCTTACATATATTTTAACAGCAAAACGGGTAACATGTCTTTTGTAGCTTACGTTTTGGCCAAAAGGAGCCTATTATAGACCTCATTATTGAAACAATCAACCCGTACTACACTTTTTCGGCTCCTTTCGCTCATGCGCCTAAAATAACACTAAAATAAAATATTTTCAAATGAAAAAGTCGTTTCTTGTGTCATGACAAGATAAAATACTACCGCGTAAAGTACTGTGAATTGCTGTTGTCTTTAATGCAAATACATAAACGCTTCTCTTATTCGGCTCCCTTTGTTTTCTTTCTCTTGTGCTTTGGCTTCGGGCCTGGTTTTAGCCCACGTTTGCCGTTCTCGCGTGGGTTCTCTTGTATCGCCGGAACTAAGAGTCCCGTATCTTTCTCTAAAATGACGTCAATTGGCCACGGCTTAAAGGAAACATTGTATGTTTCCTTGAAGTATCCAATGGA